CGCTGCTCTGCCAAATGCTAGCTTGAGATTCACATGCGCTTTTAGAGAGCCTATTAATGATATTAATGATCGTGGATCAAAGGCAAACCCCAGAGGTTTATGTAGAAATTCCAGACAATTATTTAGGCACTTTGAAAACTCATCTTCTGAATGAGGGTAGCAATATCTCAATGTGGGGAATGCTGTTTTTGGATGTGTAGGGTCTAACACAACAGAATAGAAGAGGCTCAGAAGTAAAGGAAACACATCCCTTTGATTAAAATGCATAGCTACTAATTGACCCCTCATCCCTAAAGACTTCCTACTCATTTGTCTGAAAGTAGGTGTACTCTGAATTTGGGGAAGGCCCTCTTACAAGGGGTACTTGTCTGTCAACCCTGTTTCTTAACATCCTGCAATTACATACCCCATACTGAAAAAATAGTTCTTAACTATGGCATCAGATGAGAATCATTGTTGGAGGGTCTTCAAAAATACTAAAAGGCAGGCCCAACCAACCCCAGGGACTTAGACTGAGCTACAAGCTACACAGCTACAACTAGTATCCACTGTAGGGAAACACATCTGAACAAATGGAGAAATTAACATAGGGGTGTGGAATGCTTATTTCAGTGCTTAAAGGGTTGTGGGTTACCCTTTAAATACTAGACAATTTTGACAGATTAAGAAATGAAGGTTAAGTGACTTATATTAAACCATATATTAAACCTATAAATGGCAGTGCAGCTCCTGGACCTAGGGTTTGCAGCTTGCAGTACCTTGCTGTTACATTGTTCCAGCCCTCCAGCCCAGGTTCCAGGCCCAGAGAAGGGATGACCAAAACACTTAGAAATAGATTTGCTCTCATTACATTTCCAAACTGACACTGAAACTCTTTTGGAGGGACTTATGTAGGGCTACCTGGGAAATCTATTTACAAGTGACCGAAGACCCAAGGGCCTGGAATTTTAAGGTGATATGGGAAAAGAGGTGGCCTGAACTTCAATTAGTCCCAAATAAAAAAAAGACCAGATGCTCATGTAACACGAGTTCACATGGTGAATATCAGGATTCTCTGGGAAGGTGCACAGATCATGTAAAGCCCTGTCTAAGAGGTCCACTGAAACTCATTTGGGAGCACAGTGGGAACAGACTCTTACTGTTAAGACAGCCCAGAACCTTAAGGGTCAATTTAATCTTAATGTTTCTCACTATGTTTTCTAAACCTACATCGTTAAGGGTAGTGGTTCAAATGGTTCCTTTAACTTAGCAAGATTTCCAAAACCCAAGAAATGCCCATGGGAGGGAAGAAATTCTTGCAAGCAGAATATAACTAAGAATAACATGTTCAGAAAAGGGTGCTTTGGATATGCATATTTGAGCTCAGTTCCCTTGTTTTTGAACAGCATGTCTCTTTCTTACACACACACACACACACACACACACACACACGCACACACACACACACACACACACACTCACACTCCTAGAAGAGGCAGGACCCAGACTTTGAGGTTAGTGTGAGCTACATATCTAGTTAGTGAGGACCCCACACCACCCCTGCCAAGTAAGAAATTTGGATGAAACAACACAAAACCCAAATATTTATCCATAAAACAGGTACATTCTCACTGCAAAAATGGTTCTATTCTGTGGACATTCAGACTGTTTAAGTTCCTTAAATGAGAGGACCATGGTTCTTTTGGCTATTTGGCAGTATCCAATTTCACCTGGAAACTCACTCTGAGAATCTGTCAAATTACCATCCATTAGCACATATCAGATGCTTTGGGAAGCCAAATGCATGGTTTCATTGAGTCTTGCTTCAATAAAATACAATTCCCAATCTCTGGTGATGGAAACTATAATGCAATATGGTGATATTCTGCTGCCGATGAAACTCACCTGGATAGACTCAAAGCCCAGTCTGATTGAATCCACATGATATAGAAAAAAATCATTCATCTGAGGTACCTGTTAGGCTACTTATTGACACACATTTTCTCCTTGTCTTGTTAAATATATATGGAAACCAAATTAGAGGGAATTCTGTGCAGATTTCTGAGAATTTAATTATACTCTGGAACTGCATGACCGATGATATATTTGGTTAGATTTTTGTACTGAGTGATTACTTGAGTTAACTTCATTTTACAATGCTTAATTTATTTTGTACTGTGGAAAGCTTCAAGCTATTTAAGAGAAACCAGTTTAGTTTTGACCTTTTTTTTTTTTTTTTTTTTTTTTAAACTTGCTTTGACATGTTTCAGTTCATCGCTGTTTCAATACTGGGGAATGAACTCTCTTGTCTTGACAAACCAAATGTAGTGATTTCCTCATAAGAGAAAAGAAGAAATTAAAACAATTTCCATATTCTAGTCCCAGCATGCTGCACAGGGAGGCTTTTGGCTCTTGAAAAGTTGCTTGTTGTTCTGAGAGCCATTCACTACCGTTTTGTGGAAATATTACAGTAAGGTCTGCCAAGGAGCTTAAGGAAACACGAACACCGCCACTGATCCTGGGCCATTTTCTTGGGCACAGATGTTTCCCTCCCTAGGTGTCTGTTTCAATCAGGGCTCTTTCTGAAGCCAGAGGCCACTGATAGTAACAATCTTTGCTGAAATCCAAATATGACATCAAACATAAAACAATTATACTAAGACCCCATCATTGTCTCCGAGAAGTTTCATGCTGAGAAGCTACAAAAATCAAAATACAGATTGTGTGTGTGTGTGTGTCTGTCTGTCTGTCTGACTGCCTTTTTCTTTCTTATTGGTACCTTAGGAATCAAATCCAGAGTCCTTCGCATGCAAAGCACCCACTTCACCAACAGCCCCATGAGTCTTTTTAAAGAATGAAATGCATTTCGATATTTCTTTAGCATGAAATAAGGGAACAAGAGCATGTAGCCATTACTCTGTTTCTAGTGCCAAGTGACCTTGAATACTTAAAGAATCACATGTATATCTGGTGAGTTAACCTCCAGTGGCAAAGAAAAGCAACTGTACAAGAAAAATCTCAGATTGTTCCCACACTTTTTGATTATATCTGCTTGTTTTGAGATAGGTTCTTGCTATATAGCTCTGGTTGTCCAGAAACTTACCATATAGACTAGGTTGGCCTCAAACTCAGATATCTGCCTGCTGAGTGCTAGGATAGCACCAGAGGATTTTAAATGGGAAAGGGAAAAAAGAAAAGAAGAAGAAGAAGGAGGAGGAGGAGGAGGAGGAGAAGAAGAAAAGACCTAACCAACTCACATTTATTAAAATGTCACGTAAAAGTACACGAAGGTGGCTTAGTATCCCAGACCCTGAGCATCCCAGATACTGAGAAAGTTCTTCAGTTACAATAACATTAATGGAATTGGATGGACACCTGTAAGTGTCAGAATCATAGGGACCTGAATATAAGTTTAATTTGGAGTATCAAAGGGTTGAAGAACTTGTTTGTGACTATCAACACTGATAGGATCTCAGACTTTCAAATGCCAAGTTATTACAATTGTTAAGAATATAAAAAACTCATAATTCCCAATAGCAAATAATATTTAATATCCCACCTGATATATAACAAAACACTCGGGATTAATTTTCCCCTTTGTCTGTATATTCAAAGAATTGTAAAACCACTCAAGAAACAAAAGATGCAGAGGTGTTCCAGATATACTGCAGGAAAATGCTTAAAGGCGAAGAAAACTCCTTAAACATATGCCACAGTGTGGGAGCACAGAGCCATTCCCTGCTAATCCTGTTAAAATCCACTGTGCATAAAAGGTTGTGAGAAAGAATACATCTACATACAGTCCAAACATACTATTTTTTCCCTCTCATTGGTCAAAATAATCATTATTTCTACAACAGAACAGATTTGAAAAACAAAACATTTCTTGCAAGTAAATTCTTCATTTAAGTGTAATTAAGTACTGACTATGGTCTTAACCATTAAAGAATTAAAACCCTGTTTATTCCGGATCAGAGTATCTTAGTTCTGGAGTAGGAAGCACCCATCATTCTGATAGGACAGGTTTTGACTCTAGGATCTGAGTGAGCTGCATCTTGGTGTATAATGCCCATACTTCCATTGAGGATTCAATGGTTTGAAGTTGACTCTCAAGAAAAAGTCTAGATGGGAAAGTAAAGGAACACCAGCAAGCAGTTTCTGGCCCTCTGAGGCTGGGATTATCAGAGGACACTTCCAGGCTGACAACTTAAGCTTCTTGTCTTTCTTGATAGGCAGCTATAAAAACAAAGAGAATATTTAAATACCCTGTGGATTTTTCCAATTGGGAACTGGAAAGGCCATTGAGCTCCTTTTGGGTTCTGCTCTGTCCTAATTGTAACTAGAATATTGGAGATGTGAATGAGGACAGGGTCAGACCCATGCTACCCAGAACCCAGCTGTTGCATGTACATCTCTGGCAACTAGAGCTATAACAGCTGCCTAGGTGCTGTGTCCATCCCTTAGTAGTGCTTGGGAGCTAAGTGACACACACTGGCCCCAATCTAAATGCTCTACAAGTCCAAGGGAGCACTGGGGTGGGGTGGTGATGGTGGTGGTGGTGTACATGTCCACATGTGGCTCCAGTGGATAGAAGCCATAGTGGCCAGGCTGGAGGAAATAACTCCTAGGGAATTCTTAACTTTAGTGTTCTTTCAGAATCCTAGTTCCTCAAAGGCTCCAATGCCTGTATTTCACACAGAACCACATGAAAAAAACCACTAACCTATTTTCATTGTCAGGTACTCCTTGGTTTGAGGAGCAAGAGGACTGCAGCACTAGAACTGGCCAGCAGCCCATGGCACTGTCTCTCTGTATCCCATCAGGAGATCTTCACAGTGATGGGGTGACAATGCCCAACATTACTGAGACATTGCTTACTCCTTGCCAGGTGGAGGACTCTTTGTCAATACAATCTTTTTTAGAGACAGTTATAAACTTGATGAGAAAGTAACAAGCCTATTAGACAAACAGCCTCCAGGAGGTGACTGTGAAGACTAATTCCAACACAAACAGTTGTGTTTTTTTTTTTTTTTTTAAGATTTATTTCATGTGTATGTGTGTTTTGCCTCCTTGTTTGTATGCATACCATGTACATGCCTGGTGCCCATGGGAGCCAAAAGTGGGTGCTGTGTCTCCTGGATCTGGAGTTCATTCATGATGGTTGTGAGTCACCTTGTGGATGCCTGGAACTCAACCTGGGTCCTCTTCGAGAGTAGTAAGTGATCTTAAGAGCTGAGACATCTCCCAGCCTCCAAATATTTGTTTAATGTAATTACCCCAATTCTTTTCAAATCCCAGGAACTATATACTTAAGCTTTTCTTGCCGCTACATCCTCTGCTAGAACTTTGCAGCTTCTTTCTTTTTTTGCTTGGGCCGCCTTGAACTGTAGCTAATCTTTCATCAACTGCAGCTGAGCGGTTTCGCTGCGCCAGCCCTGGGTTGTTTGTCATAAGGTGTCTGGAGGAGAAGTTTTCCGAAGCATGTAGCTCTTCTTTAGCTGTGGCTTTTGCCAAATCTTGATTCAAAAGCAACCCTGTATCTGACAACTCTAACGCTGGCAAAACACTGACAGCTGTGCTCTCCTCCACCATCACATCTCCTGGGATTAATCCATCATTTCCAAGAGAAACTCTCCTGCGGTGGCCAGAGTCTTCCACAGAGCCACAGTTCCTGCTTTTCTGTTGTGTCTTGGCTGCTCGTGGACTTTGCTTTGGACCTGGTGATGCTGACTCATAGCTACACACAGGGCTCCTGCTTAGAAGCCCCGTCTTTAACCACTCCCCAGGATGAGGCTGTTGCTGGCTGCTAGTGTCTTCTGGCTGAGTCTGAGAAACATTTTCCAGCTTTTGAACAGGAAGCCCCCGGTGGCTCTTGGCTGCTTTTACATCATCTTGTGCTTGACCCATGGTTTCTGACAGGAGAATGGCTGAGGCATCCCTCCTACTTGGTACCAAAGCAATGACTGAGTCACTAGGTCTTCCCACAAGGTCTGTGCTGGTCTGTGATTTGCTCTCAGCATTGTTTTTTGCTTTCGTTCTTCTCACACTAAAACAGACAATAAAGATTGTATGGCATGTGAGGTTCACAATTGGCATGGATTCCTCCAAACCCCCCTTGTTACACCTGAGAACAAGGCATGTGCCAGCTGGTTCCTGCCCCAGCATATCTAAGAAATCCCCAAAGCATATGTTGAATACAGACTGGATTAAGTAATATCCTCCCCATTTCCCACTAAACGAGGATATGTTTTAAGTTTTCATTGCTGGTTCAGCAAAGGATTCATGGTAGAATCACTTTAAAATTGAATCACATTAGCCAAAGCAAACAGGTATGCATGTTTTAGATGTCAGAGTCAAATACTCCCTGGGGTTGATATACTGACTTTTACTAGGAAGGAATGGTTACGTACATCCAAAGCACAGGATGTGTCTGCATATCCACACATATGCACAAATACACACACACATGGTTTATAGTTGTAAGTAAATACTAATCTGAAAATTCCCTCATTACATTTTAAGGTATTACTCAGCAGGTGCCAGGTTTATTTATCAGCCCTATGGGAATAAGTCTCAGTTAATCAGACTTGGTCAGTCCTAGAAAATAGTCACACAACTAACATTAAATAAAGTACAACATATTTACTCTATCATCTATCTATCATCTATCTATCTATCTATCTATCTATCTATCTATCTATCTATCTATCTATCTATCTATCTATCTCCCTCTTCTACAGGAAACATGAGAAAAGACAAACTTTAACTATAAAACAAACTTCCAGGGCAGGACAGAAACTTCACAGAAAATTGAAAGACTAAAGCCCTTAGTTTTGGCAAGGAGTTGACAATCATACATTCACAAATAGCAAGAAATTTCTTCATTCACTAAAATCAAGCACCGAAGTTAGATTATTGACTTTGGCTAAGCTTTGTGGAAAAAAACCCATAAATATGTTGCAGTAAGGGGCCCAAGGACTGCCATAATTACACTAAAGTCATAGCAAACTTCTCACAAAGGGAATGCAGTTTTTAGGTCTGCAGTTACCTCACGAGCTGTGTGAAACACACCACTAGCAGGTGCTTTTCATCTTCAAAGAGCTTGTAATTAATCACTCCTTGCAACACACACACACCTGTGAAGCAAGGAGTCTATTCCCACTGTCCAGAATACAAGAGCAACAGGAAGGTGGGAAGGACATGTACTAATATGTGGCTGTGGGCCAGTAGAAACTCCAATGGCAGAGGGGCTTCTGATTAGGTTCCATACACTCTCAATAACTCAACAGACCTCTGCTGTACTAGCTACACAGGTGGTCAGAAAATGAGAAAGAGGAAACATGCTGGACCTACATTTCTTGTAGAGCGTTTCTCTTGCACTTTGTAGCAGGAGAAGGAGAACTCTTTGCACACTCAGCAAAATAGTCAGACACTCCATGGAAGGTTCTTTTTGTCTAGTCCAAAAGATAACAAAGGTTCAAACAAGGTCTATTAGCTTAACACCAGAGAAAACAGTTACACCAGGAATGCTCAGGCAGACAGCTTTACTTCTGTAAAGACGGAATAAAACAGATTCCTGTTTTAGGCTTTTTCAACTGTTTTCAGTTGGGATTTTCTGGTGTCACAACTAGTTTTATATTCTTGTCTACACAATTTATGAATTAGTATGTACCACAAACATACAAAACCATAATGTGAAACATGAAGATCCCAAGCCATCTAGAACAATATCTGGTCTCTGTTTTGCCCCAAAGGGCAGAATCCCCGTGCCAGCAGCTTGTGAGAAGACAGCAGCCAGTATCCTGACGATACCGAGATTTCCCCCACATTTCCCTATTTACCAATATAGCCTTTCTTAGCCTTAAAACAGTATCAAGTTAAACCTTTTAATATTGGTACTTTTTTTTTAAATGGAGTTTTTAAATCTTGGTTATTAAGAAAACAAACAACAACCAAAAAAACTAGGAGTCTCTGCCTTCTTCTAGTAGTCACTGCCATCATTTAATACACAGATTATCTATCTTTAAAAAACATACCCATGAAGTTTCATAAAGAGATAATTACAAAATTTAAATTTCTTCCAACCTTTGCCAGAGCTGACCGATGTAATGTTTTTGGAATTTCTTCCCCTAGGTTAGAAGCTGATGGCCCAGATAAGGTGTTATCTGTTGTTGTTCTCTGGTATGTTCAAGTACTCTTCCCCATCAAATTCATATAAAATGTTGTAACCATGATGGCCAGTTGGTTCCTATTAGTTGATCTTTGTTTTACATAGGCTTACATAGGAGTGATTAGTGATAGTCCCTGAGATTCTGAAGGATGGCAACTACTAGTATTTATTATTACAGAGTATCTGGAATTGATTTAATCGGTGTTCACAACATTAAGTTACGAGGGTCCTTGAGCTCTGGGACATGCCTGTGCTTCAGACATGGGCCAGACTCTTTCAAACACATGTCCACTTGTAACCTAAATTGGTTTTAATTGTCAGTCAACAGAGTATAACTAGCTATACTGGATTATATTGCACTGTAATGCGTCATTCTTTTAATTTGTTGTTTCCTAAAATTAATTTTTGGAAAAAGAATAAGTTAAGTCAGAGGGGGGTAGACAAAAGAGGGGAGGCTGAGAGAGATCGGGAGTGATGGAGATTTATATGTGAAACACTTCTAAACATGTCCTGCATACCCTTTAAATACAGTTGATTTTCCCCTCACAGCCACACCCTGTAAATGCTGTATTTTCAGAGCTGAACAATTAACATAAGGAACATGAGTCAGGCTTTGAACAACTCTGTGGGAACCAGAAAGCCTTTTGCTATTAGGAATGATGTAAATTCCCCAAGGCTGGAAGAAGTCCACAATGGAAGGCAGACTGGGTCATAAATAACAACAATGGGTTCTGCACACACTGTATAAAGTATGATACGGCCGTAGTGACAGGCTCTTCAAATCTCAATCTCAGTGTGGACTCAGCCACTCACTCAGTTATGTTTTAAAACCACATGTATTTCCTCTGGGAACTTCAAAAACGTCTTTAAGAAATACAGCAGGCTATTCTTGTCTTAAAGCCCTCTGACAATGGGGTCAGGGATGTCTTTGGAAGAAAAGTGACAGGGAAATGTTCAGTTCAAAAAGTATGAAACCTGTGACTTCGAAAAAGAAATGGGGAGAAAAAGAGAAGAGGGGGAGGGCAGGGAGGAGGCGAGATGGGAGGAGAAAAAAGATGGGGGAGGCTCAGGAGGGGGGGAGAGAGAGCACACACACAGTCCTGAATGTACACTCAGCAAGGCTTGTCTCTAACTTATAAATTAAAACCACATTCAGCAACTTGTTGAAAGAGACATATTTACATTTGTATGAAGACTGGGTGGGCAGGGGGAAAAAGATCAGTCTCCTTCAGTCCTTGAACTGTCAGGACTCATTACATGTCTCTTGTTTATACATTTCTAGGGTCAGTTCACATCGCTTTGTTACTACATCACAGCTCATGCTCTCTAGTGTTCTAGTCCTCACCTCAAAACACTAAAGAAGCAGCTGTCACCTGGGAATAGGATTTCCCTGAGGGATTTTCTTATCTGGCATAAAAATGAAATCTGCTACTTATCCAAAGACAAAACTCAAAAATGCAAATACATGGAGCACATAGTAGGGCTGCAGGGCCTCTGAGGCATACAGGGTTGACACCACTAGTTTTTAGATTTCCTGTGAGCCATGAGCCGGCCTTCTGCAAGGAACACAAACAAATCTACCATATTCAAAGAGGCTAGCATTTAAAGCTCAAGTCCAGAGTAGGCATGCTATGGAGGGGACTTACTCTTTACAACCCGCAAGTTTGCTGTCTGTCTAGGCCAAGGATAAAGTTCTGGGAATATCATTTCTTGGTATACTCTATTACTAACCACTTGGCCAGTCTCCACCACTTCATTTTGTTTCAAGTTTTGGTAATATTTAAGGGTTCTGTTTTAAGAGCTCTACCCTAGAAAGTACTAAAATGGGAGTGGAACAAGGCTACTGACCCCAGAGTCTAGCCTAAGGAAAACCCTGCCCTCAGCAACTTGTACAGCCCAGGTAGGCCCCAGGGCAAAGGTGGCAGGCCTTTCACTTTCTCTCTGGAGCCCAGGAAATACACTTCGAGTTTGAAGCCAGCCAAGCATGCCCTCCTATACTGGTCCAAGGGAAAGGTTGAACAGGAGTGTAAAAATACAATGAGGAAGGACAGTATGCCATGTTGTCTGTTCTGACCTGGAAAACATTAAATTCCTGTCAGAAAGGATGACAGAGGACATCCCCACCAAAACAAGATAGGCAGCTATGCCACACTTACTGTCTTCCATTAGAAAACATTCAAGATGTTTGTGCAACAATGGTCAATATTCATGTTGCAAAGGTACCTGGCATCTGTGAGTACCCTCAGAGTTCATCCTACAGTGACTGGGCGTACTGACCAGAAGTTTTGAACACTGAGGGACAGATGAAGAAATGGGCTTAAAATGACAAAGAAAACACCCACTTGCTCCTGAGTTCCGATCTTCTCAGAGAGTCTGGAAGGCCAGATGGGACTCTCAAAGGCTAGTAGAAGACTGCAGAAGGCTGGCTGCAGCAGAGGCACCAAGGGAGGTCTGTTTTTTTTTTTTTTAACTAGATTCCTTGGACTCACCGTGGAAGTTCTGATTCACAAGCTCTGAAGTGGGGCTAGGAGATCTATATTTAGGTTCCAAAGTGATTCACATTCTGCTGATATACATGAAACAACATTCAAGAAGAGAGCAATAGAGAAATTAACTTAACCTGGTACACTGAGACAGTGAGACAAACTTGGCAAGGTGTGCTTGCATTATCCAGCAAAATCACCTTGGGAGCTTGTTAAGAAATGTTATAGATTCCACCCAGAATCTACTACATTTCTGTCCCTAGGGGCTGGGGTCAGGACAGTTATATTTTAGGCAAGCTCCCTAGTGATTCTTATACCCAGAATTAGTGAACAGGTTTTTAAAACACACAGAACTGGTTACAGCAGAATCTGGTGGAATGATCCAATTCGGTATCTCTGAACTATGGCAAGCATAGATTGGAGACCTTAGTGAAAAGATGTAGACCAACAACAGAAAAGACCTTGCTCCATGGAGCTTCTGTCAACAGGGGAAACAAACATACAACATTGTTTGCTTGTTTGTGCTCTCTGATCCCCCTCCCGCCCCCACCGTCACAGTCAGCTGTTGCCAATGTGATGTATTAAGAGGCAGAACTTTGAAGATGTGATTAAATCATGAGGGTTTTGTCCTTATGAGTACCATGATACTCCCACATAGAACTTGACAGAGGAAGTCTGTGCTTGCCTTTCTGTCTATCATCACATGAAGATCTGTTCCCCTTTTCCTTGTAATGATGTAGCAGTAAACTACCAACCTGAAAGCAGGGATCAGACACTCCCCAGATAGCCAAGCTACTGGTCCTTGTTCCTGGCGATCTCAGCTTCCAATACACCGAAATATATTTCTGTTCTTTAGTTATCAATGCAAAAGTGGGCGAGTCTTTGCATATGATGTTCAAAGCCCCTCAGACTAGAGCTACAGGGGAACAAGTTTGCATAGAAAAAGCAGATGAAAAGATACTAAAGATGCAGAAAAGGAGACAAGGAAGTGTTGGTAAGGAAAGAGGATGAAGCAAGAAGAGAAACAAACATCAACAAAAGTGCTACAAGTGGCATGCTGCTCTTAGAATCCAAACAAAACCCAAAGGATCCCTAGGCAGGAAGTAGACCTTTTAGATAAAGTGCTGAGACTTAAATACCCATCATAGGTGGAGGGACATCAAGACAATAATAAATACCAGAACTCTCTGGTACAAATACAATGTGAGCTGTACAAGTAGCGTGTGAAATTTTGTACACTCCACCTAAAGAAGAAAAAGGAAATTGGTGAAACTAAATTTGAATATGTACCATTTAATAACCTAAAAGTATTATAACATGTAACTGATATAAAAATATTGAGCCATTTAATGCACTGAGTTTATGGCAGCCAGTACGTACTTTATACAGAGTGTATAATTTCTGACTTGCCATTCAAATGCTTATAGGCAGAATATAGTCAATGGAAACCATATTAGCCAGTGCAGGCCTAAACAATACTTTGGGAGAAGTTTTCATTGAGAAAAAGCAGAGAAATAGAGGCACAATTCAAAGTTATTCCTGACATAGCTTGGTGAGGCAGGTTTTATTACTGTTCCCACAGCCCAGGGCTAGATGGTATTGGTCAGGGACTAATTCAACATAAACAGACAGAATGAGGCAGCAATGCCAATGACTACATGACAAATGTAGTTTCTTCTGGGAAAGTTCTGTAGCCTGTTTTCTAGTATTTACCTAGAGACACTGGGACTTTATTAGCTGAGGTCGGAATGGAGGTTGAGATTTGGGAGGCCAGGTCAGGCCATTGATCACTCCTGTGCAT